CAAAGCGACTACAATAAACAACTGGTTCAATGTTTTTCAGTGGTCGTTATGATAATTTAAATGTTATGATAATGTAATTTGGCAATCATCTACGTTGAAGAACGTAGCAGAGTCTCAAGTATAGAATCGGAGAATCAAAAACCTGAAGTTTTACCCAAAGGCAAAAACCATATCAATTGAGGACTTTTAATTCGAGCAACAATTCGTCAGAAAATCCTTTGTCTTTCAAGCCAGTTCTGTTTGTAGCAATGTCGTCCAACCTGAGTAATATATGTTCTTTTGCTTGCAAAGTGTTATACGAGTCGTGGTATGACGACGCGACAGAAGGAATTCTATGGAGACGAGAAGTTTACCTCTTCCTGACTGATCTCGTTCTGTAAGCATTAGCTCAAGTCAAGATCAGAAAGGCGACGACTTCCGTTAACAAAATTTGTCAAAATGTGAATGAGTGTTGCGCGTATCTGTTGATTGAAAGGAGTTGACAGAGTGTCATTTTGATGCCGGTTAGGCATGAGGATATTCGAGGCCCTGTATTAACCATTGACAACCCCGACCAAAATAGAGTAGTTTAGGCGTGTTTTGTTTTTTAATTGTTTTAAGCCAAGTTAACTCAGCTGTATCCACATTGGTCCATTTTATTTTAATTCGAGCAACATTTAAACAGAAGAGAAATTCATGATATTGTAAAATGTTGTCAAGATATCGCACCAAATTAGACAATAGAGTTAGAAAGAAACTCCCTTCTACATTAGAAAGAGCGGTAATAGTTAATGGATCTGAGAAATCTAAGTCCCTGAAAATCTATTTAAAAAAAAATATTTTATTAAATTTCTGCCGAATGTAATGCTAACTATTCGGTTAATGAATGCCGAGGAAATATGGACAAACTTGTAGCAGTAAAATGTAGTGTTGAAAAGATGTTTTTTTTTTCCTATGGCACCGTTTTCCCACTACCTTCATTGTTTGGCAATGTTTATTGTTTTAAAAACGATTATTGGATTTGTAATTAAAACTTAAATATATGAAAGTAAATTTATACATATTTGTTCTTGACAATTGGCCACAAAATAATAAACACTATTTATTTATTAGATTCTTTATTTAAACTATTATATTATTTATTGGAATGGTTGGCAAAACATCGGCTAATAGCTAATTGATTAAAACTTTATAAAATTTCCTGTTAGCCAATTCATGTATTTTAATAATTTACTAAATATTTATACATTCATGAATAAAACAAAAATCTCTTCACATTTGTTTCTTTATAAATTGCATTGGATTTGTTAAAATTGCATTATTCTTTAGTATATTGTAAATAAAAAAAAATTCTTATAAATAAACAAACTAAAAAAGAAGTTGCTTTTAATATTTTTGTTATAAATTGTCAAGAACTAAAAAAAACATATAAATTCACTTTTATGACATGTTTAGATTTTATAGAAATTCTAATAATCGCCGATCAATATCTGTCTATATCTCTGAGATGAGGCATTATGATTGCTTGCATTATTTACATTATTCGGACTGTTATCCTCATCTTCATTGCCATATTCACAACGTTCGGCCTCTATATCTCTGAGATGAGGCATTATGATTACTTGCATTATTTACATTATTCGGACTGTTATCCTCTTCTTCATTGCCATATTCACAACTTTTCGGCCTCGATATCTCTGAGCTGAGGTATTATGATTACTTGCATTATTTACATTATTCGTACAATTTTCTTCATTTTTATTGACATATACACAACGTTTCGGCAGTTGTACGATCCGGCCTTCTTCCGGTGATTGGAATGTCGAACCGAACCGTTTATTTCGTCCACGGATAATTCAGTTGAAGGGAAATAACTGAGACATCTGGAAGAGATATGGCACGTGGAACTAGAAGAATCTAACCCGGTGGACGAAATAAAGGGTTCGGTTTTAAATTCCAATCACTTTAAAAAGGCCGGAAGTTACAACGGCCGAAACGTTGTGTATATGGCAGTGAAGACGGGGATAACAGCGCGAATAGTGTAAATAATGCAAATGACCGATGAATGAAGATAGTTATGAATAGTCATGAGTGGTATCCCCTTGTTCGGCTACTCTGCTCTTTGAGAGAGCTATTTCTGTTTAATGGGACTATAAAAGGACACAACACACGACCATTGTATTATAAGTTCAATAAAGCTTTCTTAAATCATACATCTGATTAATTTTGTCATTAAAGAAGTCTTTATCTAAGAACTCCTCATAAATTAAAACCATTACAACTTGGTGCAAAAAAAAGAAGAGAAATAAGATGAAAGAAATACTAGTCAAATTATGTCAGTTATTATTATAATTAACATTGCTTCATATAACAGATCTTGACAAATTAAGACACCTTGAAGTAAAAAGCAAAATTGGAATAAAAAAACAAGTGAACAAAAGAAATAAGACGAAAGAAATCCTAGTGAAAATTAATAATAATGAAAAAGACTTTATCTATTAAATCCGCATAAATTAGTACCACTAGATCAGGAATTAAAAACAAAAGAAAAAAATGAAAGCAATAGCTCAAAATATGTGATTTTTATTAAAATTGACAAGGTGTTATTAATAATCAAGAGTGGTCTTCCCTTGTTTTATTACACTACACTTTGAGAGAGCTATTACTGTTTACTGGGACTATAAAAGGACACAATACGCGAACATTGTATTCTTAGTTTTCTGAAAGCCTACACCAGCATACTTTTGTCATTAAATGTTTCTCCACGTTTTCTTATCTCTCGCAGACCAATACAATACTTGAAATCTTACCATCCACCCTGTTTGTGTTCAGCCTCCACTAACATGTGTTGGCCTAGAAGTCCCTGCATCTTCCTTTCTCTGTTTACGAAATAAAAGAATTTGATGTAGAAGCATAATGAAAAAAAAGTATCATTCCAAAAGTACGTTTCCGATCAATGAGATGTCAATAAGAGTTCTTAAACTGATATGTCCCGGAAAGGGATATATTTGAACGAAGTAGCTAAGTCGGTTTGGCTACTATAACCAAGTAGAATACGGTAGCAGTAATCGACTGTTACGCGTCGTAGTCGCAGGTAAGAAGTGTAGATCAATGGCGTAGTCCAATGGGCGTCGTTATAGACTTAGCTCTCAGACTAAGGCTCTTTGACTCTCCTACACGTCCGTCGGTATTTATGACGGACACCAGCCAATCATATTCCAGTGAGGGGCAATACAGGTGTATGCATATTCCATTATATCATAAACCTTTCGCTTTCCGACGATGAAACACGAGTTCAAATCTCACCAAGATCTATCTGTCAGCGAATGCAGTTCTTGATGCTACCCAAGCCTGTGACATCGTTGGATATTACCTGAAAATCTTATCAGCCATGTTGACCTAAGTCTTGTGAGTTCATATTTGGTAGACACCGCTGTTTGGGAGCTGTCGATAATTATGCCAGCCTGAAAGTGGAAAACGCCGTGAGCGAGGGTTCGAACCTACTGTTTCTTTTCAAACTGTTGATCATGCGAGGTTATGCGTTTCCTCTCAGAAACTGTAACAAAGATCAGCTACTGTATAAATCAAATTTGGCTGTCGGTGTTGAACAGTGAAAATGTGCCTAAGCAGACGTTAGCAGAAGTGTTTTGCTCGTCTCCGTAGCAGGTGGATGATCTCCGAAACAAGTAGCCGGCCATAATACATAGATAAGCTAGATGAAGATAAAGTGGGGAAATAATGAATTAATAACCCGGAGGAAATTAACGTAAGACCGGAAGTAGTCAGCGGCAGACATGAGCCGAACATTTTATAATATAATATATTTTTGTATAAATTTCAACTGACAGTAACACTCATTGTCGAAATTTTAGTAATATATATATTGTCGAAATTTTAATATATATATATATATATATATATATATATATAATTTATAGCTAATTTCACCATTGCAGCGATATTAATTTGATCGCAATGAATCAAAATTAATGTTGCTGGGAAAGTATCATCGTTGATTTAGAAATCTCCGGAATTAAATTTCACAAACCGCTTTTGAAATATTTATATCAACTCTATAAAGTTAACAATTTTATCTTTTAACCTTTCAAAGTAAAAGCTTACATCTATATAATGTTAGAACACAGGTTTCCTTACAATCACATTAAGCAAATTCTACGCTAGTCTTTACGTGGATGTGTTACCGATTGCGTATATCAGGTGCCTTAAACTTGAATGTGCTGGTGGCGTAATGAATAAGGCGCCGGAATTGAAGATCGGAGAACCGAGATCAAATTCCAGTTGAGTTCGCTATATGAACTTAGTCCTAAATAGCCTTGGTAACGAATACACCTCTGTTCCTTCAGCTACGGGTTTATTAGTAGGACTTATAACCGTAAATCATTATTTTTTTCACACCTAAAAATATTTCTGGCTTTAAAATTGCATGCAAAATGATGATAAACTGTAAAAACAAATCAAACTATCAACTCCGAGCCACTCGTATAAAACCGAAAATTTTATTCTTCGGATATCAGCATGAGATAATGACTAGTCTAGTTGATAATTACTATTGATTAAATCGTTTATACTACACAGAGCCATCCTCTTCTATGTACCGTTTCCATTCAGGACGTTTTTTATCATGGCTCTCCAGAAGTTCCTTTGCTTTATAACTCTTAGTAAATTTTGTCTTTTCTTCATCTCTCCTAAAACTTGATCCGCCATTTATTTACCCAAGTTCGCTAGGTAGGCTATGCGTTGTTTTCCTATGTTCGTCTTACCTTCAATCTTTACTGTGAGCATCATATTTTCCAAAATCACGTTCCTTATTATGCGCGCTAGAAATGTCGACAGTTTCTTCTTTCAGTTAAATATAAGTGCCCTTTTTTATTTCCATTTTTCTGTCTGTGTGACTGTCTGACTGTATTCCTTCGTTTCTGTCTCTCTTTGTCACTCTGTCTCTCACTATGTATTTATGCATGTATGTATGTATGTATGTATCTATCAATATGACTATCTATCTATAGATAGATAGATAGAACAGATAGATAGATAGATAGATAGATAGATAGATAGATAGATAGATAGATAGATAGATAGATAGATATGAACAGAATGAAATGAGCTGAGTCCCAGTTAGGATGGTTATATTCACTTACACGCAAATACCCACTTCTCCCCCAAGCAAATTACTAAGAAAGTTATCACTAAAACATTATTATCTAAAATAAAATCTAACAATATAAAAATATATTATGGTTTTGAATAACATGAAAGCGTTGATAAACCGTAGAAAAGTAAATCAACCAGTCAATAAATTAAAGGTACATAGATAGATAGATAGATAGATAGATAGATAGATAGATAGATAGATTCCAAACTTTACTGACTAACATATATACATAAATATGAAAATATTAATAGACAGACAGGCAGACAGACAGACAGATAGATAGATAGATAGATAGATAGATAGATATGAACACGCTCAAATGTAGATTGATAGATATGAATAGATTGAAATATACACACACACACACACACACACACACACACACACATATATATATATATATATATATATATATATATATATATATAGAGAAAAAAGAGAAAGACATGGTTACATATAAACGAATTGAGGTAGGTAGATGGATATGAATAGATTGGCAGCGATAGATAGATAGATAGATAGATAGATAGATAGATAGATAGATAGATAGATAGATAGATAGAAATGGAGAGACTGAGATAGATAGATAGATAGATAGATAGATAGATAGATAGATAGATAGATATGAAGAGACTGAGATAGATAGATAGATAGATAGATAGATAGGGGATGAAAAAATGGTCGAAATTAGAAGCAGGGATGCAGGAAATGAAAGAGAGGTTGGGTGGGTAAGATCATTTCGTGTACACAACAAGTAAAGCGGAAGTCGATTGCGCTAAACAGGCAGGAGCAGAGGCATAATGGAGATGTGAGAAGACGAGTAAAATGGAGGCGGGAAATAAAGGGCGGGAAACTTAGAAAAATCGGATGTCCCGTATATTGTCCCTTTCTATCCACGCTCCCTGTGATGGATTTATTCATTTCCTTCACTTGTTAAATCACTGTATCTGCTCACCAATCACAAGGGCACGTTCAGATGGTCGGGTCACTTCACAACTACGGGCGGGAATTGTGAAATCTGGGTGGAGGCATATTACGATGCAGGTGCAGCGCCTTTAATTTTAAGGTAATAATAATAATAATAATAATAATAATAATAATAATAATAATAATAATAATAATGATGATGATGATGATAATAATAATAATGTCTTAAAGAAATACGAAAATTGTGCCCAAATCTATATCTATGTAAAATGTGTAATTATTTTTGTTTTGTTTATTTATTTTTTTACAAGAATTATCAGTCGAAATTGATATGAAGCCATTTCCGACCTTAGGTCTTTTGTTTGAACCCGGAAAGAAACGTGTATACATAAATCAATAATAATAGTAACAATAATAATAATGATAATAATAATATTAATAATAATAATAATAATAATAATAATAATAATAATAATATGATAAGCTTAAATAAAATAGCAAGAAGAAGAAGAAAAAAAGAAATCCGTTATAAAAATACCATCATTGTTGGAGAACCTTATAAATAGAAAGATTTTTAAACTTGAAGGAGAAATAAATTTTCTAAAATAATACAAGATTAATAAACAATTCCTAGGAGAGTGCATGATTACTTATAGATACATTGTCTTTATTAAAATCTGCGAAATATTGATCTGTTGATTGATTCGTTCTCGACGGCTCATTAACAACATTGCAGGTAATTTAATGCCAGAAAGTAGCATTTAATTGTAAGATTTTTTTTTTTGCAGATAATAATGGTTTAGTTATGCATGTCTTAATAGTTAACACATAGCCGGGGCATAAAGTTTTGGATTCATACCTTTCCCAAGGGCATTTACGCGTTAAATGAATATAATGAACACAACTGGAACTGAAACACTGTTCTCCAATTAACAATTTCGAACTATTATCCATTACACCACCTGCACATCCAAGATTATCTGGTAATTTCGATATTTCCATTTAGATATTAACACGACTCGACGTGACTTAACTTCGATACTTGTACGAGAATCCGTGTTTAAACTCGTTGTGTTCGTAGAACTTAAATGCAAAATAAGTGAAGACCTGTTGTCCTCAAGGACACATAGCCTATTGGATAAAGACGTTGGTTAGATCCAATGACTAGACCCAAAGAGTTGTGAGTTCAATACCACGCTACAGCATGGATAAACCAAAAACTTGGAGTGTTGTGTTAACGAGAAATAACTGAAACATCAGGAAGAGGCATGACACGTGGGACTAGCGCAATCTACTCTTGAGGAATGAAATAAAGGGTTCGGTTCGAAATTCTCATCAACTGAATCAGACAAGAGCGTACAACGGCTGAAATGTTGTAGATATGGCAATGAAGATTAAGATAAGAGTATGAATAATGTAAATAATACAAGTAACCTGCTGGTTAGTAGGATGATAAATATTACTTTTTGTTAGAAAAAGTCAAAATATCTCGGATACAATTTTTTTTAATGATTTTGTCCCTAAGATGATAATAAAGCCACTAAGACGCATGGGGGTTACCGAGTGTGAGAGAATATAGGGAAAAAAACATTATTAATGAGCAAGAACGATAAAAAAAATAAAAATAAAATAGAAATTAAAAAGGCAGAAGATAACAGCTGACATTGTATTTAATTGTATTTTGAGACCAAACTTGACTGGAAAACAAGAAGCCTGGCGAGATTTACATAAGCGAAAACTGCAATAAAAAGGGACTTTGCATAATACTTACGGTTAGATCCAGCCATTTCATGAAGAAAGAAGACTCCATGGATAAGACGGCTTGTATAAATAAATAACAGAACTTGGATTAAGAGGAGGAGCAATGTGACAACAATTCTTTGCGTAACAACGTATCGGACGTTATGGAGGGGCATGATCGTTCAATCTTAACCTGTTCAAGTCTAGTGTTAACTGAGATCTAATTCACACATCTCTATACTCCCTGCCTCTTGATCTGTAACCATTTACTTCGACTGGCTCTTGGACTTGACATAGAGTAAAAAACATTGTAGAAAAGGATATCCTGAAGTGACAGACGGATAAAATTGCTGGATAATAAAATATTAAGCAAGCATGTTCACACTTTATTTTTCTTGACGAGTGTCTCGTATCTCTTGCGGTTAACTTTTCAGCCGAAGAATAAGCAAATGTTCACAAATATTTATTCCTCTTTGCAACATCCTCACCGATGATTTATACTACAAAGTCACAATGTTAGCCGCTGGTGATGCTATTTAGGAGACGTATATTTCTTTTTTAAGACTATCAACTTCAATGAGGCCTTCGGTGTAAAGAAATTACTATATTTTGCCCGTCAGTTGACCAAAAATACATGGTGATCGTCATTTGTGAGAATTGTAAATGATCAGCTTAATGGCTTGATCATGACGATGGACAGGAACACTTTCCATAACAGAAATTGCACGAATAGAACATCATGGCGACCGGTGGTCCGCCATTACAGGTTTCTGGAATCTAAGCAGAGCATTACTGCTAATGTTTACTGCCAAGCAAGAGGATAAAATGTACATCCTGTTAAGGAAAAATGTGACTGGCACTGGTTAGTCAATGAGGTCGAATTCTGTTTGATGGCAACGCTCGGCCACATGTTACCAGTATGACACTGCAGAATCTCACCAAATTGGGATACGAGACTTTGCCACACCCACCATATTCCCTTGAACTCTTGCCGACTGACTACCCATTTTTTTAGTCATCTTGACAAACGTTTAAGCCAAAAGTCATTCTGTTGTAAAGAAGATACAGAAACATTATTCAAAGCCTTCTTGGTATCCAAACATTTACAGTTTTATTGGAAAGTCATGAATAACCTTGTAATTCAAAGGCAGACATGTATAGATGTTCGGGGTTCCTATTTTAATTGAGTAAAACAATGTTTAAAAAGATTAATTCAGCAATAAACATTGATTCTAAAATTGGACATTATTATCTTATCAACATAATAATAGTGATAACTGATGCTTTTCAAGAGGATATTATTAGATCAATATATTTGAAGAACCAAACGAAAAATGTTTTCTTTTCAGGAAATATCATCTTTCATACAAGGTTCTCAAATATTAAAATGTTATATAGGAATAAAGTGTCACTGCCGACACTTGAGTTTGAACATAGATCGCCAGTGAGTAAACACAGACGATCCCATTATTGAATTAAGTAGACCACGTAACCATAGAATAAACGCATACATGGTAGGTAAATGTGTGTCTAACTGATAGCTGTTTCTAGCCTATCTTCTATACTACAAAGATCGCTATTCTTTACTCTATTCAATATACTATTTCTCTATTCGGTTCACCAAACGGATTACTATTCGAGCGAGTATTATCGAGCAAGTACTATTAGTGTGAGATATATTCGAAAGCCTCCGACACTAGTATTGCGCAACGGCGTTACTCTAGTTGCATCTGCGATTACAAACTCTCTACTACAACGAGCATTACGAAAGTGACAAGTATTCGTTGACATCAAAAAATAAGGACAATTCTGTTTGTTAATGAAGCATATATATAATTATAATTGAGGGTGTTCAGATCAGTTGGTCTGATTGGTGGAGTCTAGGCGCAGGACATTTGAGGTTCCTCATACAGGCAGCATATGATGTGGCAGCAGCATCGGAAAATTTGAAGAAATGGGGAGTGCAGGTGTCACCCTCCTGCCGGTTGTGTGGTGCTTATGGAAAGCTGCGCCACATACGGTCAGCCTGTCCAAAGGCGCTACAGAATGGCTGGTACACCTTCAAGTATAACTTGGTTCTGGAGGTCGTGGCAGCAGCTGCAAGAAATGCTAGCATACCCTCGTTGGACCTGGGTAGCCTTCCTGAAGCAAGGTGCGACTGTCGCAAGGCAGAAGACCATGTCGGAAAACACAAGGAAGTGGAGAGTGTTGGTTGATGCTACACTGTCAGTGGAGGTCATTGTGTCTGGTCTGCGACCAGATCTGGTTTTAGTTGATAGTGAGAAGCAAAATCTGTTGCTTGGCGAACTGATAGTAGAATGGGAATAATGGATTGAAGAGGCGCATGAAAGAAAGTTGCTTCGGTATGAGGAACTGGTGGCTGAAGTCCGTGAGAGAGGATATGGCAGAACCCTGATGCCATTTGAGATTGGATGTAGAAGATTCCCTGCTGTCTCTCTAAAGAGATTCCTCAAGTGTGCTGGGATCCAAAAGCCGGATAAGGTGATAAAGATTGTGGTGAAAAAGCGGTGGAAGGCAGTGTATGGATTATCCAAAAATTCTCATCGAGTCGCATCCAATTAACCGGTGGCAACGTAACCTCATCCAGCTGTTGCGGGCCCACCGTGTGGAGAGGTACTCAGCTTAATGGGCCGAATCTTTGATGAACACGGCGCTCAACTGAAGATTTCAGCTGGGCTGGAGCACTTGATGTGTACTTGTGTTTAATGGATGAGTCAACATAACACATTTTTCTCTCTTATAATATATACAGGATATCCCCCACATAAAATGGGTATCATTGAAGATGTAAATAGCTGAATATCTCCATGTCCCAGGCAAACGAAATTAAATAGGCTTCCTGTTGAACAATAAAAAGTTATTTATCCTGATTGGAACAAGATATGCAAAAGGATGTAAATTTTAAAACCGAATCACGAAAAACTTGACAAATGCTTAATAGGCGCACCGCCTGTGACACTACACACATCAAGTCAGTTGACCAGTTTCTGATATTTTTCTGTAGCATGTGTTGTGTAACATTCTACATCACCTTAGTGATTATCTGCTTAATTTCCTCTAGGCTTTATCCCCCATCTAGGGATGGGGGATAAAGACCTGTCCTTTCACATAGTCCCATACAAAATCTTAAGGTGTCAAGTGGAAGATTGTTTTTTTGCACCAACAAAGGATGATGATAACTGTCTAATGATCTGGAATTATTTTTATCCATTGCACCTTCCTGGAACCTAACCAGAGCATCATTGCCGATGTTTATTGTCAGCAATTTGGTGAAATGCACATTCAGTCAAGCAAAATGCAACCGGCACACATTTATCGACAAGGCCTAATACTGCTTTATGACAATCCTCAATCACATGTTGCCAGGGAGGCAATGTTTTTTTTCTAAGTGTATATTAGATATAGCAAACTGCGGAAAGTATAGGGAACCCAGTGAGGATCGAACTCAAAGTTCAGTCGCAATTGATCTAGCGAGACAAGCTTGCTAACCATTACACCACGTCGACAATGCAGGAGCTCACCAACTTGGGACCCGATACTTTTTCACATCCACCATATTCCCATGATCAACGGAGTAAGACTTTTTCATGCGCCCAAACATTTAGACTTTTATCGGTAAAGGTAACCTCGATGCATAGATGTTCTGGCTTCCGAATTTAACTTATTTTAAACGCTGTTTAAATACGTTAATTCAGAATTAGATTTTAAAATCGGATATTATTTTCTGAACTAAATAGCACAAAGAAAACTAATATGGTAATTCCACATGGATAATACGCAATTTTCCTAAAAAGTAATAAGCAAAATTAGGGGTGCGTAATATGCACAACTACAAAAATATCTTTAAAAAAATTGCCGTTTCAGTTGCGAAATGACTACTCACCAGAAACATACAAAAATTTGACACTAATATTCAGGGATTGCGATCCTATAAAGATGTCAAATACAATCATATGTACCTAACAATAATTACAGATGTAAAATAAAGTAAGAATTATCATAAAACTAAATTTGAAGAATATTATTCTATGTTTAAAAACAGTTGTGTGAAAAACGACTTACAGATCCGGGAAAGAGCATATTTTATCGAGAAAAAAAAACAGGTTAATGAGTCTGCGCAGTAGACAAAATATAGGTATTTCCGTTTCCGTTTAGAATCGTGATGATCGGAAAATTTCATGTCTTCAATTACAGTTTGGATAAGAGTAAGAAACGTTAGACGTAATGAAATTGGAGAGTTACAATTTATAGGATTTGATGACCAAACAAAGGGTGCATATTATGCGTGAGTAGAAGCATTTTCCCACAATTTCAGCATAATTTTAGGGGTGAGTATCATGGATGAAGGCGTATGGCGCATGAGAAATTACGGTACCTGCAATTTGCGCGAGACAGTTGAATTTTCTGAGAAAATAATGATGAAAAACTGCAAAGAGTATTTAATACACACATGCTTTCTGAAGGCTCGTAAAACAGGAGAGGAAACAATGTCTAACCGACTTACCGACTTTATATGAAAGGATGACAAAGAAGGACAGTAAAGTGTCAAAATTTACTTACGGCAACAAAAGACAGGTAATTGTGGACAACGAAGTCTCCCAAACGTTATAAAAGGACGTGAAACATAAAAAAGAATATATTATTTTTATTATTGTAACATCAAACCTGTTCGGTACATAGATTAGGAATACCAGTTGATGCAAGCTTGAGGGTGATGTAATATGTAATAGCTCAAATTTGTTAGTAGAGTCCCAATTTCCTTTGCTTTCGTGATATTCACTTAAGAAAAATACCACTTGGAAAAGTAGGAATTCACCTCTCCTCCCCCAGCTATGGGTTAATTTTTAAGACATTATCACAAAACCATTATTATCAAAAACAAAAATTCTTACACTATGTATATATAGTGTAAGAATTTTTTATATATAAGAATATATATATATATATATATATATATATATATATATATATATATATATATATATATTTTCGATTATAGGTGCAGTTTAATTTATAATTACATGAATCATTCATACAAAAAAACAAATATAGAAGTTAATGATTTAAATGGCGAGAATACACTAATATACAGGTTCGGAGTTAGTGTATCTTATTGAAATTGTTTGCGAAGATGTATTCTCGCCATTTAAATCATTAAACTCTATATTTGTTTTTGTAAGAATGATTCATGTAATTATATATATATATATATATATATATATATATATATATATATATATATATCTGGCTTTAAATAATCTGCAATCGGTTGATAAGCTGTCGAAAATCGATCAGCCATTCCATCTTTATTATTATTGCTTTTCTTTATCTTTGAGCGGGATATTTTCAGACCCAAACTGACAAGGACATGCAAAAGAGGTGCTATATAGTGACAGGACTTCACAAAAACAGAATATAACCTTGCTGATGGGCCCAGTTATATTAATTAACAATCCATTCATTTTCGTATTAAGTGATTTCACAGATATCTATTTGTGCTTCTCAAGTCGCCATAGTAGACTCATTTCTATAAAAGTACAACCTTCTCGACACCCTTTTATGATGCTACTTCACTCGTTCCTCTCTCGAACAGAAAGCCACAGTACACCGGACACTAAGGGGGCGCATACAACTTATGATGTTCAGGAAGCTGAGAAGCAACATTGGGTCTGGGATATTTAGTGTATCATATTTTAATTAAACAAGAAATATCACTTACATGTTAACACCGCCAATCAATATTTTAAGCTTTGAGAGCTTTTTATATCATTATTGTTTTAATCAATTCACCCAATGAAGGCGACAATACCACTAAGAAGCAAGTGTATACTGGGAGGGTAAAAGAATGAAAAACACTTTAGAAGGAACTGGAAATCCAATCCTAAACAGGAAACAAGGGCCAAACCTCTACTCCTGTTCAAAAGACCGGAGAGGTGTATGGACCGGGCGATAATCGGACCTATCTATTCCTATTACATTGCGTTATTATTATTATTATTATTATTATTATTATTTTCTTTGATTTCTGGCGTTTACACATTTCTTTCCAGGTCCCGCCCAGGGACTTAAGGTTAGAGATGGCACCATGACACTTTCCACTGACAAAAAAAGAAGAAAAAAAATTACATGGATAAAGCCCTTCGTAAAGTGTGGGCTGTACTTGTCAGAACAATTTCTTGTATCTCCTTGAGGCATGGACTTCCAGGAATCCCTTCAATTAGTCTACTGCAATCAGTAGGGCTCCAACTACAACAGGGATTGTTGATGTTCCCATATGACACATTTTCGAGATTTCTATTTCAAGGTCCTTGTATTTTGACAACTTTTTGAATATCTTCAAAGATACATTATAGATAATATCTTCAAATATATTATTATTATTATTATTATTATTATTATTATTAAGCGAGTGAGTGAATAATATAACAACATAATAATGACTGGGTACAAATACACGATTATAAGCATTTTAGCACTGAACTTGACAACGGCCTGCTGAGGACATGCATCATAGAACAAAAACGTACAATATGGCGACAGACTTAGATAAAAATAGCATATAATTTTGCAGGTGGGATCCAGTTACTTGTACTCTCAGGTCCGGGAACCAATTAGCTCGACAGTCCCTACTTGGACTTCTTTTCCAATGATGTGGCTCTTAAATAGTACTAGCTATCTCATCTTCCTAACTTAAAAAAAAGACATCAGGCCATGATGCTCTCTTCCCCATCCCTTCTAATGAACAAAAATGCAGAGGGCATCAGCCCTTAGAGAATCTAACCCTCGGATTCAAATCAAGCATGTGATACGTAAATGTAATGCACTAGCAGGCATCGCACGCTCACTATCGCTTCGCAAAGTAAGATATATTCACTACTTAAATGCAGCGATCAATTTTGAGTTCTTCTGTAGTTTATTAATACCTATCGCATCTACTCCTCCCTAATTATTGACATGATGGCCAAACCAAGAGTCCTTCACAGGAGCTAGCTTAAACGCCGCCCGATAGGGCGGTTTTAATCTAGTTTATATTAAAACATGCACTGCAACTTTGGATATATAATGAAAATAAGAGTGCCACGATAATGGTTAGTATAATATATTAATATATATATATATGTAACCTCACACAATCTGGCAACCCTGAATCTGAGATCAACAAGAATTTTACCTGACCCTAACTTTTCAACGGCTTTTGAATGAGTTTTGAATCACTGAA